CTTCTTCAGGACTCCGTTCTATTAACTTTGAGAAAGCAACTCAACTTGGCAGTTGTTAAGACACTTAAAGGCTTTGGAGACTGCACATTGTGCTCTGGGACTCAGCAATAACCCTGGTGTCACCCAGTGCTGGTACTCAGGGACAATTCCACACATAATCCAGTTCCAGTTTAAGAGGAAGTTTAGAAAGGGTATCTCATGGCACAATACAGTGACAAATCTAGGCCTGACCTGACAAAATGTACACATAATAAAGAAAATAATACGACATCCTGACAAGTACAAAGGGAAAGCCACTGCTGCTTATCTCAAGGCAACATCTCCTGTGGCGGTCATGAGTGCAAAGCAACAGAGCCCAACATCTCTGCCATAGGACTGACTCATACACTCTCAGTTTGGGTGGAAAAAAGACCAAGAACTAGCATTTGGCATACTAAATTGAGAGGTGGAGAGAAAAGCCTCCAAAAAATACAACGGACAGATATCTGGCACAAGTTAACATTGAAGTTCATTTGTGGAGTGTTGGCCTGCTGTATAATTCTTGTGGTAACACCTTTTTGGGTTCAAGAAATGTAAAAACAGTAAATCAATAGCAACTTCCCTGGACTCTAGTTAAGGTAACTTGGTATCCATGCCCTCCTTTTGCATCTTTCTGAAATCCTCAAAGATTTTTTTAATGGTGCCCTGTAGTACGCAAACAGCAGGCTAAACACAGTTTGAATTCTTAGAGAACAACAGCTGCATGTTAGCTCTGCCTGAGTCTACAGCAGAAGCTGAAATAAAGCTGTTTAATTTTTCTAGTTTGAGGGGCAGGTGAGTAGGGGAAGAGTATGCATAATGCATTATGGCACAGCTTGCAGAGGTGGCTGCCTCTTTTGGTGCCACAGATCATTTCCAGAAAGATAGCTATGTAGGATGAAGTAAGTGTTATCTTTCAGCTTCTCTAGACTGCTGACAAACATTAGACTGGTCTCCAACTCTGATGAAATACAGATAAAAAATACAGTGGATGACCTCCCAAAATGGTCAAAAACCTTTGTTCTCTTTGAAGGATGCTCTGGGAAGAGGTAGAGGATAAATGGGGTCTGGCAGTCTATTCCAGCTCCATGCAGCCAAGCACAAGTTAGCAACGACATACATCTCCCACCTCTGAGGCACTACTTGAAGCTTGCAGGAGGAGACAGCACAGTAGGGGAAAAACTGCCATGCATGTCTGCTCTCCACAGATCCAAGATATCACGGACAGGACTTTCTAACACACCGGAGGCTTTGCCTCAGACGTCAAGAATCAAAACTATGCAAAGATGGTGGGCTTAGGACAAACGTAAGTGCTGGCGTTTATAAGGGACAACAGAGTGTCACTGGATGCCTGTTACAGATATTCACGGTTTGCTTTTCACCATGTCATCCAGTAGTTCTTTAATTTAAATGACTGCATTTTCTACTAGTGGGAAATGTTCTGCATTGACCATACCTAATAAGCTATTGTCCCACCAATCATATTTCCATAATCATTTACCCCATTTGTTTTAGGCACTATATTTTCTTAAAAGCCCTCTTGCTTCTATTAGATGACAATGGAAGTCTGAAACCAACAAAATACTCTTCTTCAAAGACAACATCCTTTTCATCAGGCATTGAAGCAATATATGGCTTAGGAAGGGGGAAACATAGTTAACTAGTTGCTAAAACTATCTAGAGCCCCTGTCTGCGAACTCAAAAAACCTACTGTTTCTCACATAGGTCTAGAGTCTTAATATGCAAAGTTATACTAAAATGGTATTAGAACTTTTATGTCTTCTACCCACATAAATGGAGCAGTCCCCTCTCACCCCTCCACAGCTTCCAGCCTCAAATATCCTTGCATAAAATGATTCGACAAAATAGGTGACTTATGTTTTTATTGGTTCCTCCAGACTATGATGCCATTTCCTAAAACACTAAGCCAGGAAACTATTAATGTCTCTGAAAAAGTGGAAAGGGTCAGGCTATTTCAAAGGGCATATGTTTGCTAAAAGCCTTTGTAATAGATATATAGGCCACTTAAGTTGTGATTTATAGCAACAGAGCTATTTAATATTCACACAGCATTTCTAGCTTTAAGGTATATTATGAACACATTTGTAACACCTCTGTGTTAAGAAAATACTACACTTCATCACCTTTTTGAGAATTAAAATAAGAGGGTAATCAGCTTGCCTAAGATTTTGTAAAGTTAATTCTGAGATCAGAATTCCCCACAGATCTGTATGTGCTCCTAATCTCAGACTGTTACTGGAGGGAGGAATGGAAATGGTCTGAACTCATCAACATGAAACAAAAAGAACACAAGATTTTCTAGATGATGTCAGTTGCATTGGCCTGCATTTGGCAGCACAAGTCAGGTCAGGCATTTGCAGATGGAGTCAGAGATTCCTTAAAAACCCCTTTTTTATATATATACAAGTACTACACCAATCCAATTGTTATGCTAACAAGAGCATAGCACACTACATGCAGGGCAGAAAGAGGGATCCTACTGTGGCTCCACATAAGCTTCTAATTTTCTAGAGCATACTACATGTACATACCTCTTTGGTTTGGCTCCTTTGTCAGGTCTAGGAATTACCAAAGGGAACACAAAGGACTTACACAAAAGCCTTGAAAGTAAGGGTGCTCCAAAGGCATCACCACTCCATTCATGGCCAGATTAATTTCACCCACTAACCCAGTTCTGATCCTGCTATACTTGACTAGGCACAAAATCCTCAAAACAGGGGTGCAAAGCAGACTTAAATCCAAGCTGCCTACAGCATATACAGCATTTTACACAAAAGGAGTGCTGAGGCATTCTAAAAGTACAAATAGCTCTATTCTTACTGATTAAAAACCTCACTCATCTGTCATGTCTCAAACAAACACAATCCAGTCACACAACAAAAGCTACAGGGAAAAATTCCCACTATTGCACAGTGCCATCTCCTGGGCAAGTAAGATGGGAAACCCCTCCTCACATCTCCCTTCTCTTGCTGCATCCAATGTTCCTCTCATGTGCTGGCAGGCCAGACATTACCTCTGTTCTCAAAAGGCAGGCCATGAGTTCATGGAAAGAAGAGCAAATCGTTTACAGCTCCCATCAAGAAATGTGAGACTTAGCAGCCCGCTCTTGAGAGAGGCAGTATCTGCGCAGGCAAGCACCACACAAACCCACAGGATTAAATTCAATCTGGGTTGCTGGCTAATGACAAATTAGCAGTCAGAGCTTCCTTTCAACATCCAAACAGGAAATGGGAGTGGGGGAAGTGAAAGCTTAATAATTTCTTGCATGTTAACAAGTCACAAGAGCTACTCCAATGAAAAAAGTTTTGCTATGTGAACTTAAGCCTAGCACACTGTCTGCCCCAGTGGCAAACATTTAGCTTTAAAAACCAGGGGCACATCTCGGAAAGAAAGCAGACGCAAACACCTCATTTGGTACAGCTCAATATCCAGGATAAAAGAACATCGAGCTGTGAACTAATGATGATCCTACCTTACTGTAATCACAAACATTGAAATTACAATCCCCAAACCAAACCAAAGGTGGTAATTCTGCCATCTCTCTTTAAAAGACCCAGCAAAACCAAACAGGATTAGAAGGATAACTTCCTAGTTATCAAAAAACTGTTAAATTCATAACAGTCTCTGACACAGGAGAAAAAAAAAATCAGACATAATGTCTTAGCTTCATTTCTTTCCACTGTCTTTTAGGGCTACTCTACTTACTGGCTCTGCAGATCTGGTAACATCTACCTGGCCAGACAGTAAAGGGTCAGGAAAGCTGGGGAAGAAAGTCCCTGTGGGACAATGAGAACCCTAAAAGGCCTGAAGGAGCTAAGGACTGTGAGGCCTCCACGAACATCTCTCCCTATCTTCATGTCACCACATTGCAGCCCTTGGCAAAAGTGAAAAGCCTGGCCCATTACACACCCATACCTCGGTGATATCTTCACTGCAGAAGGAAGAAAGAAGGCTTTGTGCAACTGTTGAGTAATTCTCAAGAGTTGACAGGTGAGAGGCCAGTCTCTTGGTTGCCTGGATATTAATGACAGAAGTAAGATACTTTATAGGGGTAGATGCAGACTGATATTTTGAGGGAACAAAACTGCCCCAGAACTACAAGGCAGAACTCCTTGGGGCTCATGGATGTGTCCAGCAAAAAAAAAAAAAAATCTCTTGGAAGAAGTTGTAAGACTCACCAATACAGAAAGATGATTAAAGTGGGCTGCATGGAGAACGTAACAAAAGCAAAGGAATCGGGGGGTGGGGGGGAAATACCCCAACCCTGCTGTCAATACATCCACTGCACAATCTCATTGTCTCCCAGGGATGCAAGCAAGAACAGACACACAGCATAGTTACCATGGCCCACAGTTAACAAGTAAGGAGCTAAAACTGTACGGGTGCATGTGCTTCGTTAAGGAGTGTGAAGGTAGGTTTTTTTCTACTTCCAGCAGCAGAGACATGGGTGATCGTAGTTCCAATGCAGCTTTTACCACAAAGTGCTGTCTGCTGTAAGCCACCTCAAGGTACATGCTACACCCTGCACATGGCTGGAAATGCAGATCCTAGTATGGACTCTTGTATTATTGCAACAAGAAAGGGGAGAAAGTCTGTTTTACCTGTGAACTTCCCTCCTCAATCCTCCAAGGTCAGATGATTCTCACAGTAGGCATTCCTGCTTCCAAGATGACAGAAGATGGATCAAATAATCAGCTCAGGGTTTAGACCACTCATTAGCAAAAACTCTTCAGAGGAAGAGTTTTGAAAGCTGAAAACTAATGACTGTGTAAGACTGCTGGGTCTGGTGGGGGGTTGCTTTTTAAGACTTATTAATGGGTAGGTATTACCTCTTTCACTACAAACACAGATACTCTTTGCAAAGGACTTGTGTTGCTACCTTGCACTCTCAAGACTCACATTATCAGCTGTGTCCAAGCATTTACTTCTGTGGGGTTGGTCACTGACTACTTTTTGTTCACTTCTCTATATCGTAGGATGTTTGTATCCAGGGCAGTGATGCCACTTCTTACTACATGAGAAAGACCATGATGACATTGCAGGACTGCTGCCTGCTCTGTTCCTAAAATGACAGAATCTGCCAGAACATTCCGGTTTCCAGCCTGTCATGCTTCCAAAGGTTAGTTGGTCTTCACTTAACTTCTATAGAAGGTACTTCTCCTTAAGCCAGAGACTTCCAACTTTCATTCCCTCTCCTCCCAGTGAGAAAGGTGAGAGTTTCCAGACAAGGTTATTTGGTAAGGAGTGCTGAAGGAGCTAATGCTGCTATGACTGTATCAACAATCCACCGCCAAAAATGGAGGAGGAATATGCTTGACAATTCTTAGTGAAAGACAAATCATGATCCATGTCCTCCTTGCTCTACATTCACACTACATCCAAACTCACATGTTCCATTTGCTTAAATGTCTAAAGGAAGATACAGTTGTGACCAATTTCTCTGGACCAGACACCAGGTAGCTGTTAAATAATACTAAGAATGATTTCATCATGATATGCTTGTACTGGATCTTGCCCAAAATTTTTTTATATATTGCTGATGTTACTGTTTTGCTGCAATTGCTGTCTCAAAGGAAAGCAAGAACTTTGAAAAATATATGCATGAGATCATACAGATGAGGAGACTATGTTTGTAGAGGTGTGGTAATACTTGTCAAAATAGATTATCTTTTTCAGCCTGTCTTCCAAAATAAAGATTCTCTTGGATGGCGAACTCAGGTATTCCCAGAGTTCTGTCTGTGCAGGGCAACTTAACGGGTAGAACATCAGGCTAGGGGCTGCATAACAAAAATCAATATGCATGACAGTGAAGAACAACTGCAATGTGAAAATCCCTCTGAGGGTCATACTTAGCAGCTTTCCAGGTCAGCCTCTGAATTCTTGTGAGGACTACCATTGATCCTTGTGGTGGTTTTATCTTCTCAAAGACACATTTCTGAAGGTTTTCTTTTTTGTGACAACTACTGCGCTCTGGGTTACACAAGCAGAAGACTGACAAGGCAAGAGCAGACATGCTATAACCCTTCCATTTGTAATGTACTTGTAAACTCTTGCAAACTCAAAACAAGTGACAGTCTTTATTCAGAAGGCCTCCAGCTATAGAAGCAGCTCACACTATGTTCAAGTGGTGGTGGAGGGGAAGTGGCTCTTACTGCTTAAATCTTCAATAGACTTTAAAAATTTATTTTGACAGTCTGAATGCTTGGGAAGGTAATGACAACTCTCATCACTCTCACTGTGGCCTGGTTATTTCCCGATGTGGTTCTTCTGTGCCACAAACATACACAAAGAGGAAATATTTCTGCCTGGCATTATCTCTGCAAGCAAGAGATAGCCTGCAGAGGGAAGAGTAACAGCTGTGGAGGTATACTGCCCTAACAGATATCAGGCTCCAGTCACATCTCTTCAAGTGGAGATGACAACTGTAAACACCAAAGATTCGAGCATACAACTGTGCCAGATGGAAATTCAATCATGGAAAAGTGAGATAAAGAAGACTTAAGGCTTACAGGTGCTCTTCAGCACTTATACTTTCTGTGCATATTTTCAATGGCCTCTTTTTCCCAGTTGCACAGATTCACAAAATAAGACATGTTAGCAACTTGTTCTCCAGTTTGCAGGGCTGGCAGGAAGGCTCACTCAGCTGGTATGCCTGTCGCCTAATAACAAGACTGCAACTTACTTAACTTCAGGCAAATTAATTAAGAACATCTACCTTAGTCCTTTGGTACATGTAGGTGTAACAGAATTCCCTTCCATCAACAGAAACTACCTGAAGAATAAGCTGTTAAGTCCTTAGCAAGTTTTCTGACTTTTAGTTCACATGTTCTGAGGGGAAAAGCCACCAGTCAAATCAAGAAGCAAACAGATGAAAATCTCTGGAATGTCCTCTCTGCTAAGAAAATCTCTGCTATGTGGGAAGAACTGACATCAGCCCTTGCTTCCCAAGACACACAGGACTCCATTAGGGTGTGAGCTCCAGTACTGAGCAAAAGATTTCTTTTGTTTCTGTTAGTCAGGCAGCCCCACCAAAGAATATCCCAAATTCTGGGCAGGAAATCACGTGTTGGGTCATGCACTCCTCTCATGCTGGTAGTGCCTGTGGTTGGAGGACTACTCCGTGACAAGAACAGTGTTGTGCTATGGTTGAAGCACCCTTGTTAAAAAGGTCTCCTGTAGGTAGCAAGCATGACTGGCTGTCAGAGATCTAGCTTAATCGGAACAACCTCTTTTTGCTCTTTATGCCACACAACAGGTGTGAGTGTTCAGAAATTAAGGCTCCTGCTGCCCCAACTACCTGCCCAGTCTCCTTACTGAATAGAAGAAAAGGAGCTGCCTCTGTTGCAAAATGGGTCTGATCCAGGTTAAGCTGTGGGGGAATGTGAGGCCAAAGCCTTATGTGATGGCCTCATGTTCACTGCATGCACTCTGCCAGGTCTGGTCCCCAATTAAGACAAGTATCAGAAAGGTGCTTAGTCCACACAGAATAGAAAAACTTAAGGAATATCACTTGTTTTTTTTGCTGAAGATCAGAAAGTGAGGACATACAGCAAAGTCACACAGCTGTGACAAAGGGTATGTCATGCAGCAGGTTTTCTACACTGCTACCAGCCAAGGCACTGCATCTGACCTGTGGTCTGTTTAAGAAGTACAGCCTCCCTGTTTTCCATGTTTATCTCATTATATTAAACAAGCCAGTCAGCCTCTTGTTTTTACCACATGGTAAGTAACTAGCTTCATGTAAACAAAACAATTAAGCTCCATAAGGAACTGCTTGCCATTCAAAGCTGAACTAAACATTGCATTTTGTTTTAGGAATCCAAATATGGTAAGTTATGACAGTTAACTATGACTATGGGATTATTTACTGCACAGAAAGGGTAAGTGGAACAGGCAGCACAAACTGAAAGATCACCTTTCTTCTTTATCCTGTAATTAACCATCCTGAGATCCTCCTGGTCTCACTGATAGCTGCTCTTGCTGAGTACCACCTTAGCATAACTAACTCATGGTAGAGAGATAAATAGAGAGGTAAGCTTCACATGCTGGCACAGCTGGGTCTAAGTTCCCCCTCTTCAGCTGCGAATCCACCAGGTTCTATCACTACCCCTCCGCAAAAATACCTCTGACCCATTAACTTCTTAACATATTTGGCAGTCAAACATTTCATTAACGGATAGCATAGCACACAGATACACACCAACTCATCATTTTCTTATTAGCTTATTCCTGTTGCATGTAAAAGCCCTAATCAATATCAGGCTGACAGCATTTTGCTGGACAGAATGTGCATGGAGGAAGACAGAATCCCCACACAGAAGCCTGGACACTGTAAACCCAACGCACACATCCAGCTCAAAAAACCCAACTCTACACTGCTAATCTGTGTACATGTTCAGCTTTGCAGGCTGAGTATTCTTATTTTAAATATTCACAGAATGCAGGAGTATTGAATGGACAAAGTAGAAAAAAACCCCAAACCAAAGCAAACCAACAACGAAACCAGAAAAAAAACATTATTAAATCTACCCGGGGGGCAGGGAGCAACAACACATTGATGAAGGCAAAAGTAAAAATGCATTCTGTTATAGTACCCACTGGAATGGGCACTTTTACATTTTAAATGTGCATGCTTTGCTCCCTTGCAAAGATTTAGTAGCTATTCCCAGTTACAGACCTGCATCACAGCTCTCTGCTGTGCCTGCCTTGTGTGGGGCAGAAGCAACTGAGCTGAAGCAGGCACAAGGCTGAGGGTAGGACAGTACTTAAAGTGTAGAGCCCTCAGGAAGAGAGGTCCCAGCACACCAAGGGGAAGGACAGAGCCTGGAATGTGATGGCAGCTTCTAGAATAAGTTCACAAGTTTCACACTGGAAATCTGGGAGTTAAAACCACAGTCATGGTGGAGATTCCAATTAGTCACGCTCTCCCAACCAGCTCTGCGATGTGATATCTATGCTTGTACTGCCTAGAAACATCCCAGCCTCCTGATGAAGTTACTAGATAAATTGTTAGTTTTTAAATACAGCTAGACAAAGGTTAAGAAAACCAACAATGGTCTATTATTTACTGTAGTGCTGAAGCACACGTCTCCATCTTAGATGAAGGATGAAAAACACCATTTTGTGCAACAGACTGGCAAAATCAGACGCTGGGAGAATGAAATGGCCTGTTATGGTGGTATTATCCAAATGACATATAGCTATGCAACAGTAAGACACAGGCTGTACAGACACTCTTACTAGGATACTAGCTAAAGAAGCAGACCTTGCACAAAAAAACAGACCAAAGCACTCTAATCTGGTTCATTTTCTAAATCCTGGGTACCAAAATGGGAGGGGGGATTGGGACAAAAAGGATAGATATAGCCTTAAATTTCTTCCTGAGCTTCACTTGCCATCACAAATATTGCTGGCTATCAGATTTTATTACCGCTTAATTTATATATTCCTTGCAAATACTTATAAATACTTATGGGCATACCTTCAAAGCTGCTCATGTACAACAGAGGATTACTGAGCAACCTACATAGGAGGCAACAGAGCCAGGAACACACAGAAAGCGTCAACCGGTTTTGGTCAGAAGTCTACATCAAGTGCAGCTTCTCTGTCCTTCAGGTTTTCACTCTTTACTGAAGTGAATCCTTCAACCAGCAGATACAAAAAGGTCTAGAGCCCCTGAGATAGAGGACGTATCTCAGGGCTGAATATGGTGGGAAGGGATGCAAAGCTTGGACTAGGGCTTATCTGGAGGCATGTCTAGGGACATGGAGAGTTTGGGACCATTAAGTTAAACCAGAAGAGTTAGTAAGATGTGAAGGGCTGGACTTCAAAGCCAAGGTGAGGGGGTTAAACCTAGGACAGACCACAAGACAGTAGCTGGCTCCTAGCTTCAGTGAGACTGGTGTCTACAGAAAGGTCCTGTTCCTCTTGCAGCCAATACAGGTGTGATCTGCAGCTTTCATGGGATGGTGTGACGGCAGTATTAGGAATTCTGACTGTGAAGTGTTTGACACTGAGAAGGAAAAGGAAACCTGCTTCCAGACCCATGCAGAGACTTAGATGCCAAAGCTCAAGCTTTCATCAAATGGGCACAACTACTTTCAGCAGGTTCTGCTTGTC